CAGCAGGTACCAAGGCCCGGAGGCTGGAGCAGGGACAGAGAGGCCACCATGGCCTCAGCCAGGCCAGGGACAGGGAGCTGCAAGACAGCAGGGTCCCCAGCCCCGCAGAGGGGAGGAGCCTCAAGTTCATGTCTCCAGGGTCCCCAGGGGACACATCAGGCCCTGCCTCCGTGCGTGGGGCCCTGGAGGGCGGAGGGGTGAGTGTGGCTCATCCCACAGCCACCTGCTTTACCCAGCTTCTCACCCCGCCCCGCCCCGCCCCGGCCGCCTCTGCTTTGGTTACGGCTCTGGAGGGCTCCAGGGAGGCTGGCGAGTGAGCAGGTAGTTACACGACACTTTTCCTTGAGAAAAAGACTTTATTTGTACTTTTTATTTGTTTATTTTAATTTTTCATCTGAAAGAGACAGAGAGATGGAGGGAGACCTTCCATCCTTTGATTCACTCCTCAAATACAATTGCCAGAGTTGGGCCAGGCTGACACCAGGGTGCGCATTAGCAGGACGCTGGATTGGAAACAGGAGCCTGGACCCCCAGCAGGGGCTCAGATCTGGGCTGCTGGTGTCCCCAGAGCGTTTTAGCCAGCATGCCAAATGGCCGCTCCAAGATTTTATTTTATTTTAAAAAAGCAGACAAATGAGAGTCCCTCCTAGTTCCACCTATTTCTTGAGTCAGTGAAGGGAGCCCTGAAGGCGTCGCCGCTCCTGACCCCAGAAGTAAAACCGCGCAAATGGCTCGGAGCGCAGGGTCCCGAAGCAGAGGCAGACGCATCACAGATGGTCCCTCGGAACCTGTGGGGGATGGGTGCTAGGACCCCACCCCCCACCTGCACCTGAATACAAAATCCGTGGAAGCTCTGGTCCCTTCTGTGGAGGGCGGGGCTGGCACACGGCCCGCACCTGCACACACCCTCTTCTGAGTACCTTAACCAGCTGATCACCTGCTGCCCTAACACCTGTGAATGTTACCTCAGTGGTTGTTACACTGTTGTTGAGGGAAAGTAACAAGAGAAACAGTTTGTAGTATTTGGCATAGACTCATTTTTTTTTTACTAAATTTTTAAAAACATTTCATTGAAATACAGAACACATACCAAGAAATGCTCACAAGTATACAGATAAAAGAGCTTTTGGTCCTCTGATCCCACCCGTAAGCGACACCCAAATTAAGACAGAACATCGCTAATACCCCGAGTCGTCCTGTCCCTCCCTATTCTGTCTTTTAACGTGGGAAAGGAGAGTGTGTCGTCTCTTATGTGGCATGGTTCAGTGACGCGGCGTTTACGACTGCACACGACGTCAGTGTAATTGTTCTGCTCTCTGTGTTACACTGTGTGTTAACAATCAGAAAGTGTGACCTTTATGTTTTTGGGTCTGGTTTATTTCACTTTGCATAGTGATCTCTGCTTGCATCCATTTTTGTTGCAAATATTGGGATTTCTTCCTTTTCGTGGCTGAGTAATATTCCGTCGTTTTTGCTGTGAGTTGGTTACTCCGTGACTGCAGACCCCGGGGCTAGGACCAGGGCCGGTGGCTGTCCTGGTCTGCACACTTCCAGCGTGGAGGAAAACGCACATCCGCCTCTCGCTGAGGGCAGCTCCTGCTCTGTACCCGGGACACCCGGTGCTGCGTAACTAACTTGAGATGGCTCATGATGAAATCCACCAGCCGCCTGCCTGCCCATTTGGTTTATCTGCAGTGGGGAGTGCCACGCGATGAGCTGAACAAAAAGCTTTGCCGCTCACCAGGGTGCTTGGGGCAGGGCGCCCGGCCCTTCTGGGTTCCTAGAGGCAACCACTGAGGCTGGTGGACACCCGGCTCCCCAGTGCTCAAGTCCCCTCTACAGCAGCCTTGACAGTGGTGGCACCGGCCGTGGGTGGGGCCCGTGGCAAAGTGTGACGCACGACAGTCTCTTCATTCTCACAGCTCTCTGACCTCAGTGATAGCAATGTGGCTATTGTGCCTGTGAGGGAAACTGAGGCACAGAGCGATCTAGCTACCCAGAGGCCACACAGTTGACCAATGGTGACAGCTGGACCTGAACCTGGACAGAAGATTCTAGAAGCCCTGTGGGAGCGCAGTTCAGAGGATGGC